CACACGTGACGGACAGCGGGGAGGAGGGCAGGATGTGTGAATTCACAGAGGACTACTCGAAGAAGGTAACCTCTTTTCTCCTTCGTGTCCTCTGTGAATACATACTAATGGGTGACTAGCAAGCTGACTAACCCCGAGGAGGGTCGTCACGAAAGTGCAGAAGCCAGGACAGCTCGCCCTACTGCAGCCTGAACCTTAACCTGGACAACCAGGCGGTAGGGTGAGATGAAGGAGATGGAGTGGTGCACATGTCAGCGCGGCAGACATCCACGACGTCCACGTGACAGAGAAAGGCCATTGAGGATGCTACTATTCTAGTAGAGTGAGCTCTTACTGATCTTGGAAGAAGAGTCTGTGCCAAACCAAAGGAAAGGCACATGGTCTGGACCATCCAGCTAGACATGGTCTAAGAGAAAGCCGGTGCTCTGAAGGTGACAGAGAAATGTTGTGAGGACCGAAAAGTGGTTGTGCGATGCAAGCAATATGGCAAAGCACACTGCACGTCTAGAGCATGCAGAGCTGTCTCCAGCAGTGAAGATGGTGTGGGGAAGAAACCAGGAAGGAAAGCTGGCTGGTTCAAATGGAAGACAGAAAAATACCGTAGGCAAGGTAAGGACTGGCTGAAGGGGTACTTTGCAGAAAGGAGGGCCAGCTGCTACTGCAGCTAGTCCTCCAGCCCTGCAAGCTAAGGGTACAGGCAGGAGAAAGGCAGCCTTGAGGGTTGCCAAAGAACTAACTGGAGAGACCACTGAGGTGTCAGTGGCCCATAGGCAGGGCGCATATTCTCCAGGCCACAGAGAAAGACTGTGTCGCTTCCTAGAGCCTGAGGAGGTTATCAAGAATAGCAACCGTTTCCTGACTAAAAGCCGTATACCAACAAACGGCAGGTCTAAACCCGTCAATTGCTTAGAAACGTATCGCCTGGTTTTAAGGCTATCGAGCAGCAGTGCACTCGTGACACACCTGCAACAGTGCCTCCCAGTGATGCGGAAGGCCTGAAGTATAAGCGTGCACATGAGCTACCTGCAGGGTGGGCAGAACCAAACTCCATAAGTGGTGATAAGCCCCCATGGCAGAGGAGTAAGTGGCTACACGGTGGTCAAAAACAAATAATGCCGACCAGAGAACTCCTCATCTGTTAACAGTAAAAGAATGTGACCATCTGCAACAACCAAGAGGGGTGTAGGAAAATTGGTTGGAAACTCTTTCACCCCCCAGCGATTCATGTGAGTCCCAAACCTGAATGGGTTAACAGCAGGTTCGGTCGAAGCTGCAAACATTATGCCACCGAAGCCAAGTTTGAGGGAGCACTACACCTGTGAAGCGTATGTGGAGGCATAAAGCATGCCATAGCCCATGGCTCAGAATGATGCCAGGTAGAGCGGAATGGCGATGGTGGCCGAGAGCTCATAGCTCCTATCCCAAACAAAAGGGACTGGTTCTACGCAACCTTGTCAGTGAGATAGGACCTACCTGAGGAAAATTATCCAGGCTTACCTGACAGCAGTAGGGTTCTCGGGTGGACCCTTGTGAGTCCTTTCCTTATGAGCCTATGCGGGCACTGGCAGCTGAGACAGGGCCGCAGGCTACTTTGTGAGCCAGCCCATTGATAAAGAGGGCTGTTTTGTGCCAAATTAACAGCCACCATCAGGTGCTACCCCAGGCAGAAATATCACCGACTAGCAGGACTAGTGGTGGGAGTTGTACCCCCCCCCTTTTCAAGGGCAAATTAGGGCTGTCAAATGCTGCCAGAAAGCTTTTGCCTCGGCACCTAACTGGTTTTGGAAATAGCAGCCACATGAACAAGTCCTCTGATAAATAAGGCCTAATACACCAAACACCCAAGGGTGTTACCCCAGACAGGCAAAGCACTGACATGCAGGGCTAGCTGCAGGAGCTGAAGGGGCCCTTTGTATCCCCAAAGGGAAACTCAAGCCTTACCATATGTCGCTGGCACATCTACAGCCTCGGTGTGCAGCTCCCTCCAGAAGTCGCAGCTACATGAGCAGGCGCATGAAGGAGGGTTGATGTGCGGCACTCACACACAGAGGCACTTCCTATGTCAGGAGGAATCACTGACAGTCAGGGAAGGTGACGGGGCAACAGGAGACCCTTCTTCTCCTAGGGACAGGGCGTACAGAGCCCTAACTCCTGCGGGGTCAAGCAGCTGTAAGCGCAAGCCCCTTGAACCAAGAGGGCTGTTCCGCCCCAGCCTCCGAAGAGGCTGTACACCACTGAAGTGGGGAGCAGGAGCTAGGAGGCCCTCCTTTCAGGTCTGTCCGCTCACTGCAACAGCTGTAAGAACAAGCCCCTTGAAACAAGAGGGCTGTTCTCTGCCAAACTCCGGAGAGGTTGTCCTCTTCTATCCTGCTAAGAGACAAAATTGCAAACAGACAAAAAAACCTGTTGCTTTCCAGCCTGGGGGTAGTTATAAAGAAGGTAAAAGAGATATTATTTCTTTAAGAGAAAAGCCCTGAGGGCTGAAACACCGGCTTTGTAAAGGCTTTTTAAAGACTCAACAAAGAACAACTAATGCCGGCTAGTATTGTATCCCCCAGGCAAAAGAAACAACTTGTTACAAGTAAAGAACAAGGGGAGATGAAGGGAAAGAAAGAAAAAGGCAAGAAAAAGATTTGTTTCTACTTGTGAAGTTCCAATGAAGCTGCCGCGGTCAGAAAAAGAACTGAAGCACTGGGCCGGAGTTATATAGCCAGGTGTAGGGGAGGTCCCAGCACTAAGTGCTTAAAGCTGTGGAAGTTACCGAAGACTGCTCTGCTCAGCCGCAGATTAACTCATTAGTGTGTATTCACAGAGGACATGGAGAATCCTGTTCTCATGAAAGAGGACAATCTCGGTTTCAACATTTCTGCTACCAGAGATAGTTCAGGCTTCATTTGATCTAGGATCCAATTGTTCATCCTTCTGGCAATCCAGAGTATCAGCAAAGCTATCCTCCAGCATATTTCAAATGAAACAATTTTTTTCCTCTCCAGCTTTCACACCCATATATGGTCATCAGAAATATGAAAGTCTGGATGATCTTCTTGATCTTGGTCTCCAATGATACATCTTTACACTTGATAATATTTTCTAAACTTTTTCATTGCTGCCCTTCTGAGTCATAGCTGTCTTCTGATTTTTGGCCACTGCCTCTATTTGGATTGATGATTGAACCAAGACATACAAAATCTCTATTTCATTTTCTTCATTTTCAACATTAAAGTTGTGCAGTTCTTCTGTAGTAATGATTTTGGTCTCCTTAATATTCAACTAATATTCTTGAAGAAAATGAAGTATATATTTCAAGCTGGACAGGCAACTCATTTAAGCTGAGTGTCTATCATGTGAGAAACACCCTCTATCAAAGTCTACTCTGCACAAGAAAAGAAAGAGCCCCAAATGCCCAGGACCAATCTGCAGGATCACTATAGCCCTATTCAGGATATTAAGTCTAAGGTATAATTGTTGTTACGGTCAGCCATAGCATAACCTGTCCGTCACAGCTGGGAGGGAAAAGCTCAGCCAATGAGAGGGCGGAGGGTGGTGCAGAGGTGGGAGGAGCTGTGATATATAAGGTGTGTGTGAGGTGTGAGAAGGGGAGAAGAGATGAAATAGGAGATGAGATGAGATAGGAGATAGCAGACAGATGAGAGATGAGTGTCTGAGCTGCGAGTTAAAGTAATCTTAGTGTCAGTGTGAAAGAGTCTGTGAGATCTAGTGCCTGTGAAACAGTAATTGATTATTTCTTTAACAGTGATTTACCATTCCTTTCTTTTTGTATCCAATAAACCAAGTTTTTGTTTTTAAAAGTTATACTGGCCTGCTGTATGATTTATTTATTAAGGAATGGTTGGTGGCAGTAAAGAAGAGTAAAGGATTTTAAAGTGACGTGATGACCTCCCTTTGTGAGTCTTGAGGAAGGCCATCACAATCTGCAGGATCGCTATAGCCCTATTCAGGATATTAAGTCTAAGGTATAATTGTGTTTTGGAACGGGGCAGAAAAATAAGTCTTGGCCCCCAAGAAACAAGACAAACCTTCATGGGCTCACTGCAAAAGCAGCTATAAGCACATTCAACTGAACATGCTTTACGGACTTTCTCTCCAAATTAGGGAAACACTGTAAGTGGGTTCAGCACAATGTGCTTACAGACACTTCTGTAGATCGTCACGCCGAACACGCAAAGGTCTGCCTTACCTCTGGGTAAGGATGTGGGGGAACATGATTACCTGTTTCCCTTTGTCTCCTCAATGATCAGAGCCCCACATGCTTTCAGTTTTAACACCTGAATAGGGCTGGTAACATTTCTAACATTTGATTTTGAATTGCCACATTTAGTCTCTCTAGTGAAATACTATTAAGAGGATTAATTCTTCTCTTACACTGAAAATTGTCACATGTATTCTCCCCACCACCACCACCATTAAATCTGAATTATATGCATCAGTGACAAAATCATTGCGCTCTCTCCCAATAATTTCTTCTCACAGTTAAGATTTGTCAAAGAGTCTAATTTTTCCATAACAAATCCCACACTGGAAAGCACCAATAATGATACTAGATTGATATTCCACCCTACCTCCACCATGTTTTCAAGATACCTCAACAATTAAGGTCAAGGCTTTTGAAGCAATCTTCTTGCTATTCTACTGTAATATTCAAGTTTACATGAGTGCCCAGCCATACCATCTGCACTTTCTCTTTTTTTTTTCTGACCCCAACCTTTTACCATCAACATTTCTAAATCTCAACATAGCTACAAACATGCTGTTCAAAATTAGACAGCATATGGCGTATTTGCAAGTTGGCTTTGCTTTGAAAATGCACACCAGCTAGACAAAGACATTGGAATTAGATGGCAAAGATGATGATTTTGGCAGACAGCATGAATAGCTTTGCTGCTTCAAAATTGTACAGAACAGTGTTGTTGACATTCTTAAAACATATTCATGCACAGAAATTTCATTAACTCATGAGGAAGAACAAAGGAAACAATGACTTTGGTAATGACATAGTCTCTTTATTAAAGAAGGAAAGCTGTATGGGGGAAAGTGCATCAACAGCTCTATTTAACTGCAAAAAGTAAAAACTGATCTCACCTCCAAACATACAAGTCTCACTTATTTACATTTTTACAACCATTTCTTAAATATTTACAAAAAGTAGCAATATATTACTGATATAGCTTCCCATAAAATTCTGAATTACATATTTACAGTCTCTCATAAGGTCCATAATTTGGTGCATATGGTTACCCACACACACATACAAATGCATACCACCCTATTTCCCTGTCACCCCTGAGCCATTATAATGTTTAACAATGAGCCATTTTACCCATATTCCCTGCATGGGCAAACAACTTTAAAAAAAGAAAAAAAAGAAAGAAAGCAATCTCTATATTTATTTGTTCAAGTCTCAAAAGCAACAGGAAAGCCCAGCATCTCCCTTATTGGACAAAAGAGCAAATTATATTGTTTTCATTTAAAAGCCACCATTTTCAGGCTTCCCTGAATATACGCTTCCCTACATAAAATTTAGAGAGGAAAAGAGTGGAACACTTGAGATGTAGATGCTTTCCATAAAAAGCAGCTGAGCTTTCTGACATCTGTGATTTGGTCTGTGTGGGCACTAAGTCCTAAAGTCTACAATGCAATGATGGTGCTTACCAATTAGAAGAAGATCTAAACCTGCCAAACCTGATCAATATGAACAGGTCTATTAAAATGTTAAATTCCATGACTGCCCCTTTCCTTTCAAATCTGACATTCCCCTGGAGAGATGAATCATAGACCATCAGTATCTTCTCCCATTCGGCAGCAGTAAGCTCTTATCCATACAGCAGCAGTTTTAAAAAGCTAGGACACTTGGCACCAAGCTACACCTTGCTCTTGAAAGGTTGTAGAAGGTTTAATAATTGAAGTCTAAAGGTTGCCTTTAGGAAAGTGGATGCCATGGTGATCAGAACACCAAATATCTGTGGAAAAGGGTGTGCTTAGGCAGCTGGGAGAGTTGTTGTTTGAATGTCTTATGATCAATAAGCTTATCCACCCACCTGCTTTCATCTCTTCATCCCATTGTGTCACAACAATTCAATTTCACCAAGGCAAAGTGATTTGCTCATGAGGAAAAATCTTTCATTACTAAGAAACTGGCAAACCAACTTTGTATCTTGGCTTGTGAACGTTAACAAACCAGTGTGCCAACCCCATGGCACCATGATGAGCCCCTCCTTCGCATTCCAATCACAGGACTTAGGAATGCACTATGAGCTCAGTTGGACAGTGGCAATCTTTGTAAAAATTGCAGCACAACAAAAGAGACTGCTTCCTTCTCCAAAACAGGAGAGCAGAGCTTAATTTCACCAAGAGAACCCAAAACACTGTGCAGTAAAGCACTTATCAAGAGCATGCAATGCTAAAAACAATATAAATATTGCTGAGAAGCTCTATGATAGTGTGTGTCATTAGGCCATTACATACAGTAATAAAACGTATAGTAATAAAACTAGAATTTGTCTGTGTTCCTAGATATCCCACTGCATGTCTCTTATAGATTTTCATTATAAAGCAAACTTCATGGCATTTTGGTTTGAGGATTTTTCAAAAGACTTGCTTGCCTGAAGAATCATTTGCTCTGATACTTTTCGAATGTTTCACACTCTGAATTTTAGTTCAAAGCAACACATCCAATGTTTCCTTTCCATGCTCCTCCACCACAGGGGACAACAAAAGGTCTCTGCCACTGATGAAGGAGATGAGGATAGGTTCAAAAAGATGCTTGAGAATTTTGGTTTGCATTCCAGATCAGACAAGAAGCAAATTCTAATTTAGCTAAATGCTCTCAATCAGCTGAAAATGAGAGAACTTGACAGGGACTTCTGATTTCTGTTGAGCAAGTACTTCTGCTTTTAATTCCTTGCAGCTTGTGGAACAGAAAGGAGAAAATGTACTGGAAGTTTGAAAACAAATGATGTAAACTCCACTGGGAATGAGAGTTGGACATGTGCACAGCTTCTCCGAGACACAGATCTGAAAACCTATGCAATACAAAAGTGCACGTGGAAAACCAGTCCACAAGTGGGAAAGATTCATTCTCTCCTGTCCAATGGGCTCACTATGCCATGATCTGCATTTGAAGCCGGGAGAAAAACCTTGTTTTTATAGGAACGCTTGTGTAGTACATGTATTCACTGGCCTTTAAAAACCAGTGCACTCTAGAGACCCGAGGGTTGACTGTAAGAATGATTGATTACAATGCCCCCTGGTATTGAGCTGTCAACATTTGACACAATTTTCTAATACACAGCCATGTCACTATAGAACCAGAACTTCTTTCCATAGCTTTGTACATGAGTACTGTTGAATCTTTGTATTTTCGTGATCTGAAATTCTGTTCTGGATTGATTTCTTTTGCAAAACTGGCATGAAAAACAAAACAAGAAGAGGCATGCCACGTCAGATTGAGTTGTATTCTCTGTGTAGATCTATATTCATACTCAGTAAAAAGCTCATATGAAAGAATTTAGAAAACCGTCAAGTGTTGAAAGTGTAAAAGTAAATTAAAAAACAGCAATCAAGATACAGTGGTGTCTAGCTTTAGTCTCCTATTGATTCATACAGAATTAGGACATCCATTCATTGTCTGTTTACAGAGCAATCTTGAAACACTCTACTATGAAGCAGGTCCCATTGAGTTTATGGAGGCATATTCCCAGGTTAAGTAGGTACAGGAATGCTCATGGGCAGGGAGGGCAGGGTCAGTGGTAACACTACCTCTCAGCTATATTAGGGTCACCATAAATCAGAATCAACTTGATGGGACATAAAATATTTTCACCATCAATAAAAAAATTGATCAACACATATTTACTATTACTCCTGATATCACCGCATACCTATGTAACAAGAACCTTCATTCTGACATAAAGGAAGAAATTTTTTCCCTTTGCATACCTAAAGGAAGTTTATAAAGTTTGAGATCTTTCTTTACACATAAAAGGAAGAGTAAGGAAAAAGGTCAGCCATCCAACAAGGGAAGTACTGGCAGGTTAATTGCCAACCTTCTTAAAGTCTAAGCTTCCACAGTGTTGCACTTTTAAACAATACATACTTTTGACTTCACTGTCATAAACTAGTCTCTCGTTACACTTCTCAATCAGTAGTGCTAAATGTAATATGTACAGTTGTAAAGGAAGACGGGAAAGAGAACAGTTTTTGACTATTTGTTCAGTATAGTGACACAGTCACCATCAAGGAAAAATCCAAGCTAATTTTCCAACTAATGAAGAGATATTCTTCCAACCTCTTCTTTAAATTTGACCTATATTTACAAATGAACAACATTTTGCTTTTCATTTGGAACACTGTCATGTTAACTTGTTTGAAAATTTAAAAGCCCCCAAAGCAAACAAACATGTTAAAATGTATGCTGCAACCCGCCTTGCTGGGCTCTGACTTCAGCCCAGCACATCTGCAAATTATCTTAACCTACCAGGACCTTTAAAAATTCACTCTTGGGATGCTCCACAACAACTGCTGATAGCACATGCTTGTAACTGATCCTCTCTAAAGACGCCATCCAGCTGAGCCCACAGGCAGCAAGAGGAAACATGGAAGGCTTGGAAGACGCTCAAGTATAAGGAACACACAATTTAAAGATGGACGAATATGTGAGAAATGCTATCAAAATACAGTGAGAAACACTATCAAAATACAGGAAAAAAGAAAATGGGCAAACACATGCAGGGCCTCGACGTCAAGAATGTGGTTCTTCCAATCCTAGCTAAAAACTATCACACCCATCACCATCTTTTAAACACAAGCAGGAAGGTATTTCAAGCAAAATATATAAAGAAAAGCTTTCAAAATATAGTTTCATAGGATCAGGTGGTCATGTTGCAGTGAAAAGTAATGATCAATTTGAGGTACCCACCCTAGACTTCTCAAAAGGTCTAATTTCCAGAAGAATTTAGCTTAGCATGTTCTGAAAGAAACAGCCAGCCCTTTAGCAAATTTGGCTCCTTGATGAAATTATTAGTCACTTTCAAAAAATCTTGGATTTGGCATTCAACTGACCCAGATCAGGGAAGCAGCAAGAATATGTATTTCACCATTAGTGAAGAGAGATGGAAAAAGAAACTTGCAGAGTGCTTCTAATTGCCAAATATTTGAACCCCACCTCAGCCACACACATATGAAGAATGACTATATAAACTTACACTAGTGTTTTGGCAGGTAGCGAGATGCAGTGTTTTTTAAAAAAAACATTGGAAAGAATGCCCACCTATATGATAAAGAAGTGCCATCATAAAAATGCAAATGTGACTGAAATGCAGCTGTGGATAAAGTTCTTGGATTCAAACTACAATACAGAACGAGGACCTGAGCAAATCCCTTCTTTGGGGGACAGATGTGTGTCTGCGGTTCAAATAACATTTCAGTAGTTTGCTCCTTTGACCAAAGTGATTCAAAGACGGACAAATCAGAAATCCTGATAGTACTTCTCCAGAATATCTGGAGAAAAGCACTGAGTGATAAATCCCTCCGTAGTGTCAAAATCACAGTGTGTCTCAGGGAAAGTGCACTACAGATTCCCCTCTTCCTGAAATATTCCTGTTTGGCTTTCCACGGCAAATCAAGACAGAAGAGACTACTCCAGTTCATACCAAGATATTTGAGTAGAAGTCAAAATTATGCAGAAGGCCAGAAAATGCTTTTTTAAAGTGCATGGCTTCCTTCACTGAAGTTGCAAAGAACAGGGGGAGAAACAGCCCTGGAAACTGTGGCTAAATAATCCTTCTCTCTTCTGTACTTTTTTGTACCCTTGTCTTTGATCCTGAGTCTTCTTATAGTACAATGGTCTTGTTCTTCAAAATTTTAACCAGCTGGTCCATCACAAACAACAATGGGTTCTGATCCTTTGGAGTTGAATGTTGTCATCCAATAATCCACATTCGCAAAACCTTCAAGAGGGGGGGAAACAGATGAGTGTGATCTCTATTATACTTTTTAAAGACAATGCTCTTTTTCTGTCAACAGAAATATAATCTTTCAAAATATATATATTTTACTATCAAACATGATGGTCCCCTGGGATGATCTGCCCACCTCACGTCTTTGACACAGTCGTTAGGTTAAAAACACCACTTTCTTAAAAACAAAACAAAAGAAGCATGAACCTCTCTGTCCTCTAGATCAGTGGTCCCCAACCTTGGGCCTCCAGATGTTCTTGGATTTCAACTCCCAGAAATCCTGGCCAGCAAGAGGTGGTGGTGAAGGCTTCTGGGAGTTGCAGTCCAAGAACATCTGGAGGCCCAAGACTGAGGATCACTGCTCTAGATAATATTGAAGATAACCATTCTGTACACCTTTCCTGCCCTACCCCAATTATAGAAGGGGGCCTTAAAGATTAACCCAGCTATTGTGGTTTAACACAATAGCCATATCAGTCTGTTGTTGCACAGTTCAGTAGCACTTTAAATATTAACATTAGTTTTATCTACATATACTTTCATGAACTTCCACCCACTCTACTGGATCAGGTGGGTTGTAGTTCACAAAAGCCTCTGCCAAACAAAACTTTTAATCTTTAAGTTACCACAAAATTCTTTGTTATTATGGTGTAATTTATACATCAGTACAGTGGTGCCTCGCAAGATGAATGCCTCGCAGGACGAAAAAACCGCAAGACAAATGTTTTTTTTCAATCGCTATGGTGCTTCGAAAGCTGGCTTCTTCTATGGTCGTGCTTCGTGAGACAGTTTGTTTCCCCCCCCCCGAGACCGATGCTTCGCAAGACGAAAACAATTCATTAGTCTTGTGAGGTTCCCACAGGAATGCATTTTGCAAGACGATTTTTCTGCAAGACAGCACTACTCGCGGAATGAATTACATTCGTCTTGCAAGGCACCACTGTATCCTTTTTTTTCTTCAGAGCACTAAATGTTTACATTGTATCTCAAAATATTGACGAATGTACTGTGACATGATCTTTTTTAAGAACCTGCCTCATCAGATGCAACCAGCAAATTGAGGAGGCAGGGCTTCATCGCGGTGCAGCCAGCAGCTCCAGGGAACAGCTCCCTGGAAAAACTAGAACCGCCTGGTCTGGGGGTCCCTCTAGAAATGGGGGATCAAAGGGGAGACCAGGAGAGGTCTCTCTGAAGCAGTTGGTGAGCAACAGAAGGAGGAAGACTGGGCAGCAATCCAGTATTTCTTCCCTCTGAAAATTCACCCGAGCACAGATCGGATGCAGGAGCCATCTTGGCAGAGAGCTGTGAGCCACACACCCCCATAGGAGAGGAGAACAAGCAATACGACGGTGAAAATATATAATAACATAGTAAGTTGAAGCTTTTGATTTATGAACAACCCCATTAAGCTGAAAAAGAAATCAGAGTAAAAATATTTGGCCAAAAGAATATAAGGAGCAGTGAGTTTTGCTTACCAGCCTGCTTCTTCAAAAACAAAACTGACTCTTAAACAGCAGGCTGCTTCAAGGCCAAAATAGAGACAGTGAGACAGAATTTTTCTTATGTTTGTTTCTGTAGAAAATCCCAGTGTGAAATGCCACTGGACAGGATTTAAGAGACTGAAATTTTGTAAATGCTGTTTAGCCTGGAGCTTTTCCCCTAGACTATGTGGGACTCTGATAATAGAATCTTGTTAGGTATTGGGGAGAAGAAGGAATAAGCTTTTAGAGACGGAGAATCATTATCAAGACAACCTGAGCGACTGGAGTGAGCAGCTAGGAAAACCAGAACTGAGGGGTTTTTTAATTGAATCTTTGGATTAATGGAAAGAAAATTAGATAGACTGATATCTGGAGAGACTGACTCCCTGTGACTGCTGCCTAGTCTGAATTTTCTTTGGCCGGACTGTGTGAGACTCTGATAATAGAATTTTGTTAGGTTTCTGGAGAAAAAGGCATATTTTTGCCATGGTTGTATTGTAAATTGTTGGGCTAAAAGTTGATTTATATATCATAATATCCGGGTAAGGATGGGAGGAAGAATCTAGGGGAGGTTTATGATTTTTGGTGAAGGATATAGTATTATTTATACAGACCCTACTCATTGGAAAGATCGAAATGGCCTCTGAAAAATTAAAATATCAAATGTTGGGAACTTTGTCTGCCCAATCTCAAAATTTGGGAATAGTGGCACAAAAATCAGATAAAGAATGGCAGACTACCATGCAAAAGATAATAACAGCAGGATTTCAGAAACAAATGAACATCTTAGCCAGACAGAAGATCTGATGAAAGAGAAGTTATCAGATGTTAAACAACAGTTAAATGAAGTTGTTCTAACTCCAAAACTGCTTTTATTGAGTATGATACCAGGTAACATAGATGGGATAAAGAGTAACCCAGTGAGCTATTTAGCTATGTTATATTAAAATTTGGACTGCTGTGTTGAATTCATCCTTCTCTTCCAAAAAGTGGAAGAAAGCAAAGTTACGTAAACAAGAGGAGCTTACTGAGAAAATATGGGAAGCGTCCGAAACGGATACTCTTTCAGACATGCTGAATGACTCTCCAAATCAAAAGGAAATTGAATGATGGGATTTATTTTACAAATGGTTTTGGTTCCCTGATAGTGTTGGAGTAACTTAGACTTAAACTAAAACAGAACTGTAAGTTGATAGCTGGAGGATAATCAAATAGTAAAAAAAAGCAGAAAATTGATTTGTTATTGAAACATAAATAGATTGGATGATTGCATATTTTGTTTTCTCCTATCCCCCTAACCCTTTCCCCCCACTTCCTTTTACCTTTTGTATTCCCTACCCTATTCTTAGTTGTTAAAAAATAAATATTAAAAAAAGATGCAACCAGCAAATTATCCTGCCTTGCAAATATGCATACAACAACTTCTTTGTTGATCTTTAAGGTGCTACAAAACTTTTTTTTAAACAAAACCAGATTAACAAAATATCTATGCTTTTTCTCTTTGTCTTCCTATTCTACACTCTCTTCTTTGAAATGTATCTCCATGTAGTGGGATAATCACTTGTGGTGGGTGCACCATAGGTGTGTTAAGCAGCATACCAATATTCTACAACAGCGGTCCTCAACCTTTTTGGGGCTGCGGACTGACTGGGGGGAGCGAGCTCCATGCGCGGAGGGGCGTGTCACGCTCACAGGGGGCGTGTCACATGAGTGCAGGGGGCGGAGATCCGTATGCACAGCCCAGTTCCGGCAAGCCCATGGACCAGCACCAGGCCATGGACCCAGGGTTGACGACCCCTGTTTTACAACATGCCTTTTCTAAAATTTTGACAGCTGCGAAGCACTAAATGTAAGGTTCCCACAATGGCAGCATATCTTTCCAGAGAGGGAGAAACCACTTATGAACACTTCACTGTGTGTAAAGTGTTCATAAGTTTTTCCTAATAGATAGGTGTATGGAATATATTTCTCCTCCACTGCATATTAAATCTTAGAACATTTAGCGAGGCAAAATCATAACAAGCACAGGGCATGCCTTGCCTTTTCAGGCACTTCATATACAATGTACAGAACATAACAGTTAATGAAACTGATGTAAGGAAGCACCAGCTATAGCCATAGTATCTGAACTCACCAATATCACCAGCTTCCATTTGCACTACCAGAGTCTCACAGTGTTCTCTGCACAATGGAGAAGGGGTAACGTTCAAGGTAAGCTGGCCACTTCCTACCACAAAGACACTCTGTAACCTGTAAGTCTGAAATACATAAAAGAAAGGAGAGTTCATCATCCATTGTATATCTTTTGGTAAGCAAAATAATAAAGTTTTGGTTTGAGATAAAAATGAATTCAGGGGACTCAAAAGAAGAAAAGAATTTTTTCTACAGGGCTGTTCTGCACTATCAAAAATCCAGCCAGAACCGACCAAACCACATAACTATCCCCTAAGCCACTTCTCAATGTAAAACAGACTAGATGCTGTAAGCCATATCCATGGCTTCTATGCACACTTAACCTCTCCTCTCAAGGACTGTCTCTATCTGTGGGCACAGAGATGTCTAGATGGGATCACTATAATATTTATCTGGGACTCAGGAGCCATCAAGCATGATGCATTGTGGGATTTCTGCAAGGCAATTGTTCTTTGAATATGCATCTTCAGAGAATGGAGAGGGAACAACTGGAAATTATCCCTAGTAGTGTGGCCAGCACTCAAAAACAGCCGGGATGTGAAGCAGGCAAGGAAAGTTACAGGGACCCACTATTTAAGCTCACCTCTGACTGCAGGGAAACAAAGACACAAGAAAGGGTGCGGCTCACTTGACACTGCACTCTCCTCTCAATGCAAAGCAGGCAGTGAAACAAACTCAATCAGCTGCTCTCCTAATTATCCCATATCATGACAAAAAGCAGTGGCAATGCTTGACTAGAAACGAACAGGATGTGTGGCAATTTTGACTCAGCCAGAAAGACCAGGCAACAGCTGTAGACCTCTCCCATTAAAACCTAGTTCAGCAAACCTTTTCGTCTGCATAATGCGTAAGACCACAACAAAAGGCCAGAGGTTTCAGGACAACAATCTTCAAGTTGGAGGAGAGCAGCTATTTAGCTGATTTTTCTGAAGGGGCTGTAACACCCCTCCTTTTTTTTAGACAGAGTAATAGACTAGGCTTATTACTCTGTTCTGCTTCTGTTTCGTCTTTACCTACATTTCTCCTTGACATAAACTGTTTTGCATTTTGGGAGAAGTGGTATAGTTATATTTCAATTAAAATTACAGTACCTATTTTTTTTATTTTTTATTTTTATTTGTATCCCGCCCAACTGGTCTATACGACCACTCTAGGCGGCTTCCAGTATAACATAGACAACTAATAAAATAACACAAAATTACATAAATCCTACCTTATCCTGAAGCCTTGGGCGGTGGATGAGAAAACAGCTTTTCAGAGAAAGAGACTTTGGAAATAGTGAAGAGAAGACAGGGAAAATCTCATTCAGAATCTGAGTTTTATTCAGAGGGGTTTGCCTGTAGACATTTTAGAGAACCAGAACATATTTAGTTTCTTACAGAGATACTACTAAGTTCCTTTTGAACTACTTTAAAAGATACCCATATCTGACACCTTAAGGAACTACTACTGCTTTCATTTTGCAGAAGTGACTTTTTAAAAAAAAAAAAGGCAGAAGTGCAGTGTATAAGTTATTGGTCAAAATCCTCTTGTTCAGCTATGCAAATAGCATAACATTGGAGGCAAACTGTCCTAAATAAAGAAATCACCATAAACTTTGTTAGTTGCATGCTGACTCATACAGTTCAGTGTGACACTGGTAATATCTACCCTGAGTTCTTCACTTCCAGCAACTCACCTCCAAAAGTTACACTGTACTATGCCTGTCTAACTAAGTAAGAGGATCTGGGCCAATGTATACCCAATGTGGAGGCCCAGTTTGAGACAGGAGACAAAGGACAGGCTGCCTTCCTGTGACTGCAGTTCTTTGAGTGGTCATCGGTGAATTCACACACGTGAGTGCAGAAGAAACCCCACATGGGTGAATCACAGAAACCATGAAGGAGGACAGGTTGCCTACCTATAACTGTAGTTTTCTGAGTGGTAATCTCTGAATTCACACAAGTGGGATACCGTGCTCATACATGGGAATCACAGAGGCCACAAAGAAGGAGAATGGGCAAGACTAGCATTCAATCAGCACTGAATAAAATGTACATTGATTGTGCTAAACTACTGAGTACAGCCTTGCCAGGGCTAGGATTAAAGAGTGGAACATCTTGAATTACATTCAGACTATCTACCCACTACAAGAAAATGATACTGTGGGAAGCAAGTGCTAATATCAGGCCTGATACAATGATCATGTACATTTTAAGGCGGTTTCTGAAAGAAGAAAATTGTCAAGTCCATTGTCAAATAAACTGCTGAGGGAGGGAAATAAAATAAGGCGTCCCCTAGTCCGATGTTAACTAAAACCACATGGGACATACTTTGGGAATCCTTGCCTATTTATTATTCCAGGAAAAAGGCGGGCAGAAATTCATTTTAGAAGTCCCACTGTGGGTACCTGTCATGATTCATACTTGAAAATCTTTCACCCGCTGTGTCCATCAAAAGTTCATAAAATAACAATGCTGTTCAACAGATAGCACTCTATTCCACAAACAGAGAAAAGCCAAAGATCTGAGATACCGTATTCATGCACCTAAAGTGTGTGTATACTCTCTCTCTCTTGTTCTCTCTTGTTCTCTCTTGCTCTCTCTCTCTCTCTCACACACACACACACACATTCTCTCTTTTACTCCATCCTTAAAAGGTTGCGGGGGGGGCTCATACATCCTTACAGATGAATGTTGAAGAGGGCAGTGGGAGAAGAGCCTATTGCATAGACATCAACCTATCTCTCAGTATTACTGCAGTGAGAAACACAAGGCCTCAGTGCAAAGTTCAAACAAGATAAACTAAACAGCCATGTTTATAATCAATAGACCAGTTATCTACTGAAAGCATCTGGTCTTTAAACAACTAGCCACTAAGTGTGTTTAAGATTGCAAACTTAAAACTGCCAGTGCCGAACAAGTGTCATATGAGAAATCTTATTAATGGCAACCTCTGGAGTGAGATTATGCCGTTAGTGGCATTGTTGCCTTTGGAAAACTGCCCTGGATGACTAAGCCACAATTCACTCATTCTTTAGATAGAGGCATGTAATAGAGGGTTAGTGTAATAGTGTATGCCAAAACATAGAGGCTTCTGCAAAACTGATACAGTGAGGTCTTGACTTGGGAACTTAATCCGTATTGGAAGGCGGTTCTCAGGTCAAAAAGTTCTCAGGTCAAATCTGCACTTCCCATAGGAATGCATTGAAAACCATTTGATCCGTATCTGCTCTTTTCCGTCCATAGAAACTAATGGGAAGCTGCTATTCTGCCTTCGACCACTAGAGGGGGATATTTTGTTTCTTTTTTTCTTAGGTCAAGAAAGGTTCAGGGAAGGCAGGGAAAATACAGTCCAGGCAGTACAGTACCAGGCAGTCTGAACACTGTCTCCCAATCCACTCTCTAAACGCTGGGAGGAGTGAGGAAGCAGACAGGCACGCTTTTCACTGGCCAACAGTTAACTGAAAGTTCAAATTTTGCACTTTCCTTTCCTCCCACGTGGTTTTTTTCAGTTCTTAACTCAAATCTAAGTATGTAAGTCAAGTCAATATTTTCCTATGAGAGTGGTTCTTAAGTCAAAATGTTCTTAACTCAAGCTGTTCTTAAGTCAAGACCCCACTGTAATCCAGCGGTTTTCCTATAATCCCCTGATGTCCTTGTACTAAAACTCCCAGAAGCCTTCACCACTAGCTGTGCTTGCTAGGAATTCTGGGAGTTGTAGTTCACGAACATCTGGGGACCCAAAGTTGGGAACCATTGCTATAATCTGTATAGTGTGAACTGAAGTTTCTGCACTGTCCATATACAGTGGTGCCTCGCTTAACTGGCGCCTCGTTTAATGACGAATCCGCATAGCGATGATTTTTTTGCGATCATTTTTGCGATCGCATAATGATGTTTCTAATGGGAAAATATCGCTTTGTGCTGATCAGGAAGCTGTTTCGCTTACCGATTTTCACATAACGATGATTTCCCAACAGCTGATCGGTGGTTCCAAAATGGCCACCGGGTTTAAAAAAATGGCCACCCGCTGTGTTTTTGCACCCATTCCTCGCTTACCGGGTAGCGAAAATGGCGGCTGTATGGAGGATTTTCGAATAAAGGTAAGTTTTTTGCCCACAGGAACGCATTAAACGGGTTTGATGCATTCCTATGGGCTTTTTTATTTCGCATAGTGATGAATCCGTATAGCGACTATTTTCGCTGCACGGATTATCGTCGCTATGCGGGGCACCACTGTACAGTTATTTGAGGCAGGGGATGTTGTAGGATCTGATCCACAATGTGCAGGTTACAAGCTTTGCTTAAGCCTCCCCATATGACAGCATCTCAAGTTGTCTCTGTAGCACAGCAATATTCATCAGCATCTGAAAAGGAACCCTTCAAGTAAAGGGTACACTCCAGAGAACCACAGCAGTTTCATTAAAACTCACTTCCGACCCTTGAGTACCCCATGCAACCAACCCACACTCCCAAATTTGCTGTCAAGCTTGATTTGAAAAGAAACATGTGGGAAAACCTATTTTAATGCTCACAGATTTTTACAATAGAAGACTTTCTCAGAAACATCACCACACTGGACATATGTCTTACTACCACATTTTAACTTTACTTCAACTAGAGCAACTCCTCAGTTTGGGCCAAGGTGGAGCATTACAAGATAGATTAAGAAGCCTAAAGGGACAGCTATTTCTCAGGTCCTTCCTCTCCACTCCCAAGTTAAGATGTGCTACTGTAACTCAAGAGAGGGCACTTCAGGAAAGTGGGGGATACAATTCAGCAAACAGCTCAGACTCACCGAAGATTATGAAATGGAAGTTCTGGCATGGGATGGCTGTTCCAGACCTCAGCTGAATCCTCTTTTACCACAAAATCTGTCAATTCAGGGTACAGGGACTGAAATTGCTTCATCTCAGCGTAAGACCGATATTGTCCTGTCTTATGAGAAAGGGAGGTGAAGAAACAGTATTTTGATGAGCCATCTTCTCAGGTGCCATAGGAGTAGGCCAGAATCTGCCCGCACTGTGAAGTTACCTTGATCACGAGAGGCTGTGCTTGCTGGTGTTCTTCTGAGAGCTGCCCAATGTCAGCTGTTGCCTCAAGGTATTTCATAGAACAGCAGCACGAGCAGCTGGCAGCCAGAGATGCATTTTGTCTACAGTCTAAGCCCCACCAGTTGTGACACTCTTTAAGGAAATGAACACAAGATATCTGTGAACTTGAATATTTTAAGCAAATAGGAATATATACACTAATCATCACTAATCTTACTGTGGAAAACCGTAAGATCATCAATACCTTACCAGGCAAGTTCAGTGAAAGAGGAATCTTTCAGTTTGCTCTCACAATCCTATCTAAACAGGGAGTCATGCAGGAATACCTAGAGATGGCAATGACTACACAACATGCTGCTTCTAGATATTTCAGCCTCTGACAATATCAGATGCATCATTAAGGTAGGAAATGCATAAAGAAGTGTTTGTTGCTGTTGATCAAGTGATGACATGTACAAGAGAGTGTAAGTTTTACGCAAATTATGTTTCAATTCTGTTCCTAACGTTTTAATTGAAACCAGAGTGACAGCGACTGTCTGCCCCACTAAAATCAAATGACAACATTTTCAACTGCCAAGTTTAAAATCCCCTGCTAAAATATTGCACAATAAAACAAGTTAGACAAAGTTTTATCTTGTGTTAGCTCAGCTTTTAGCTAGGATAGCAATATGGAAGTGACTGAGTAACACAGAATGCATTGTTAGGCATAACGACAATGCATCTTGTTTCCCTTTGGGATCTCTCTCCTCTTTTTGCAAAGAAGACATAACCAACCAGGGGCTCATCTCAAGAAAAAAAAGGAGATGGCTTTGGCATTGCATTGTGCTTTGGGGAGACAGATTTCCTCCACAGGCTACATTGTGCTGGCTTATTCCTTACAGCTTACTCATTTGATCCAGAGTTCTGTACTTCATGTGCTATCACTGGGATCTGTACTACAAAGATCAACTTGTTTCTTATAATTTATTTGCTACCAGAAAATTACATCAGAACCTTTTAGTGAAGATACTTGATTGTAAATTGCATTCCAGTTAAGCAAGTGTGCACACACACTAAAACAAAAACATTCAATATGTTAGTTTATATAGCACTTGTCACTCTAACTCATAGGTAAAAAGAAAGAAACCCTCCTTCCCAACAAATACAAATCCAATATTGGAAGAAAGAAATAAGGTGAGTGTTTACCATTGATATGATGCAAAATGTAAAGAATCATCCTCTGAGACAATTTCTAAGCCTTCATTGTACTTCCCCTGTTTTCTATCAGCATATCCGAGACCAAGCAGTAGGAATTAGTGAGAAATAACGTCCTTTACAATGACTGTGATGCTTTTAAGTCTTTCCGGTCATTTCAGAAGAATGCACATACATTCTCTGTGGCTGGACATGAAATCATCTCTGTCAAACCAGGCCCAATTTCATTTTGCACTCAGTTTGAGATGCTTGGTTCTCTGAACACAGCTGAACAACTTGGGAGATTTTTGTCTGTCAGGATTAATCCACCCAACTTGTATTCCAAGGGGGCTTTTAAAAAGAAACAATCAGTCTGAAATTTATGGCTGTGAGCATTCCTTAGAGTATCCTGCATCAAAAGTGCAGTGGGGAGGAAGGGTCAATCTGGTTTGGGTGGAGAAAGGGTGACACAGAGGAATAACAGAACACGCAACAACGAGAGACAATGCAAATGGAGGAGTGCACAAGGGAATTAAACTGGAGCTCTACAAAAGTATTTTCCTCTTTTTCCAATTACACTCCTGCATTCCTTCCAGATTATCATGTTGCCCAGTCAACCAGGATCATTTTGGCTTGGAGTGCAGCAGGCCTTATACGCAACTGATTCTCAGAAATGTAACAACTTGGTTTGCGTGTGCATTAAAATCTAAAGTTGCTGAATGTGTCACAGGGTGAGTGCAATAACAGCAACATGGCCCTAAAACATTGCTTCACTCTGCCTCATGAGCCCTTTGTATGTCACAATTCCATGTGCAGGCAGTAGTTCTCATTGACTGATTTGATTTGATTTCATTTGTATACCACCCCATTAGTGCAAAATACTATTCTTATTTATTTTAGTTATTTTAGTTAACTATTATTTATTCCTCCCAACAATTTTATTCTTTGGATGGGTGAGGGATAAGGAAGCAGGGCTTGTTTGTGTGCTGAGGGGATGGAAGGTGAGGCAAGGTGGAGGTGGTAGCAGCAGTGATGGAGGGAGAAAAGGATGGCAGTGGTGGTGGCAGCCAGAGGGAAAAGGGGAATCAAAAATGGCTGATGTGACAAGAACCAACAAAACACAACAGGAACCACTGTAACTTGGGACATGTGGTAGGAATGGAAGTGGTAGTGGTGGAGCTGGGCAGCGCAAATCACCACTCCTGGCACCCTGCCATGTTAGGCAGTCACCCTACTCAACCTAAAGATGGGGGAGGGGACAGTTCTGCTTTGTGATTATAACTGCCGAGTCTTTGCGTACCCACACCCACCCTCTCACATTTACAGATTTACTGGATTTGCTTGCTGGTTGTGTCTATTTTTAAAAAAATCATGTTAATTATTTATTTGCCACTACAGTGGTGCCTCGCTAGACGATGATAATCTGTTCCACTGAAATCGCTGTTTAGCGAAATCATTGCCTAGCGAAAAGCTTTTCCTTAATGGAATGCATTGAAACCTGTTTAATGCGTTCCAATGGGGAAGAATCGTCGTTGTCTAGCGAAGATTGGCCATAGGAAAGCCGCTTTGCGAACCACGGATCAGCTGTTTAAATAGCTGTCTTGCTAAGCTTAGGTCCCGAAAACACCTGTTTTGCAAGCGCGGAGGGAGCTGTCAAAATCATTGTCTAGTGAAAATCAGTTTGCAAGGCAGGGACCAAACATTGTCCAGCAAAATTCCCTCATAGGAATCACTGTTTTGCGAATCGCTATAGCGATCCCAAAAAGTCAATGTCTAGCGAAAAAACTGTCATGTGGGGTAACTATCTAGTGAGGCACCACTGTACTGTACTTTGTTGTGGTGGTTTAGCCATTTTCAGAGAACATTTTCCATTTTTTGTTTGAGACCAAAATGCAGGACAAACACTCTAATTTCACAAGGGTGCTCTGGACTGGTGTCTCTCAAACAGCAGCATCCGTGCCACAGGTTAAACCACATTGAAAACTGAAGGAGGCTTGAAAAGCAACTTTTAAAAAGGTGTGATTGCCTGCTTTTCAAAGAAGCATGTTCAACAATCCCGGTGAGCATGCCTAGCCCATGGATTGCAGCTGCTTGCATCTCAAACAATATCAAGAAACATACTCAGGACTAAATAGAAATGGGGAAGGAGGGGGGAAAAGCCTATAAAACCTAGCCAAATATCCTTGCAACATTGATCACCATCTACTTGCTCAAGTACATAAAAATGTTCATGCCGCATGAGTTAATTCATGCAATAGATTTGCTCAAGTAGTATCAAATTTAGAACTTTTCTGCATGTCAGGAGCTGACTGAACTCCATAACACTGTGCCTGCACCACATGTTTTCCATAGGTCAGCTCATTTGATAATCCAAACTACCTAATCTGTAGTCCGTATCCACCCTGCATAGCTCGGTAATGGCTCACACTGTTTCCTGGCATGGCTTGCTGCGAGTGTCGTGCCTGCACACTGGGCTGTTATGTGCCAAATATTTATCCAAAGGAATAAAGTTCTCAGCTAAAAGATGAGATCATGCTAGAGGACCTAGCTACCTTCCCGAGACTCGTGCAGTTGCAGATATCCAACCCAATTAAGAATTATTAAAACAATAAACTAACAATACCTAGAGGCCTATCAAGAAGCCCTTGCCAACAAAGGACAGTTGTACTGTGTTTTGTAACAGTTGACATTACTCCAAGTAAGGACTGGCTTTTCCTTACTAGCAGACATGCTCCAGCTAAAAACACTGCCGTGATATACAGAGCTTGCAACTGCAAACTTCAGCATAATCACTGCTCTCTGGATCTCTGATTAGCAACTTTTTGGCAAGCATGTAAACACAGAAGTACTGGGGCCAGGATATAAAGTAATCACTGTGGAGAGCAGAGCCATTTTCCTACCAGGGAAAATGTTTGAACAAAACTACATAAAAGCAGAAATATCAGTCAGAGCAACTAAATTGTGATTCAAATTCACTCAAATTCACAGAAATGTAGTCTCTGGTTTCATTTAGTTTTTTAAAAATTGTAGACAGAGCATATTTTTCATCAACACAGTTACCTCAATCATGCTAGAGAATCACATGGATATAAATTCTTCATCTATGGACTTCAGCAAGCGTGTGAGTGATGGAAACAACAAAGATAGAAGTCGGCTTTGATTTCTGCTTTTTTTTATAAGGGAAAGGCATCTATTATTCCACCTGTGACTGGAGGTATTCAGAAGCTGATAAAACACAGACTAGGATCTAGTAGTATATAATCATACTTCAAGTAGAAAAAAATGAACTAGGTCAGTGATTCCCAATCTTGGGTAACCCAGGTGTTTTTGAACTGCAACTCCCAGAAGCCTTTACTGCCAGCTGTTCTGGCTGGGGTTTCCAGGAGTTGCAATCCAAAAACACCTGGGCTACCCAAGATTAAGAACCACTGAATGAGATGCTCCTGATTTGGCCAACATGCAGACATACAAAGTGTTAAATCCATTAATAGTATGGAAAGGATTGACATTCTTCGGTGTTATGTGCAAGAATTGCAAATAGTTTTTTGTTTTTTTTTTACTACAGCTCCCAGAATCCTTAACAATGAATTCTGAGAGTTTCAGTTCAACCAAGTAATGTTTCTAAACTCTAGTTATATATATTAATTAACAACTATAAACTGTCAGTTTTTATTATTTGGGAAGAATAGCTTTTGTGCAAGGTTGTAGAGAAAAGCTTGGAAACCGGGCTTTTAAGATGCTCAGACATCAGAACTTGATTAAACAGAAATGCAACATTTTTAAAAATCAAATTTCAAAAGTCATATGAATTCCAGTATTGCCAATGTAAAATCACCCCAGCTGTCTGGAATAACAAGAGACATGGTTCATTGGAAACCAGATCTCATACAGTATTGGATTATTTTAATGTCATATGTGTGCATAGGCATTGGATAACGCTATCTAGAACAGCAAAAGAA